TTATGCAATATAATCATAGGGAGTAAACTTGGTAATATTCCTTTTTTATAATAAAAGAGTTGTTGTTCTTCTGAAAGTGTCACTACAGGCTCAATACGCTTCATCAGCCGGTTGAATCTATTATGGTAAGCATCGATAGGCTCTTCTGGTTTCTGTCTAAAAGTGTCTAAATCACTTAACTATTTGTTTCTCCAATGCTGGTTACAGAATTCTTTCCTTAAAAGAATCAGTAATATCCTTCCAATTATCCTCATGATTTGTCCATAAGTCTTACTAATGAAATGGGCGTGCTGCCATTCTTCTGCAGCATCTCTCATAAAGGCTGGGAAAATATATCTCTTTCTCCTATCATCCTAGTTATTTGTATCGGCAGTCTTCTCGAAGCTTTCCAACCAGGCATATGGGTCCTGGGTTCTATTACCCAAAAAAGGTTCAACATGCAAAATGACAGACTCATGTGGATTTGCTACGAGGTAATCATATATATTCTGTATAGTGGCAGTAGTTATATTGGTTATAGGTATAAGTGGTTGTATAGTATTGATAAGAGCAAGTGGATTGGTTTTAAAGCACTGAGTGTGGATAGCTACAGTGGTGATTACTTTGATTAATTCTGATAAGTTTCCTGGTGAGTGGCGATATTTAACGCTAAGGACCAATTTGACCACTAGGTTACAGCACTATGCAGATTGGGGGTTTTGATATAGGTTTCTGAATTCCTTAAAGTAGTCAGAAGTCTTTCTCATGAATGTACCCACAGAATATGTTAGTTTTATTGCTACTAATATTGTCTACAACGAATAGTTAGGGTTAGGGTTAGGGTTAGATTAGTGTTAGGGTTAGTGAATACCAATTAGCAAATCGGCGAAATCTCTTTGAAAATTTAGTAGATAAAGGATAACAAAGTATACAAAAATCTTCCTTTAACCACTAATTCAACTTTCCTCTCTTTGTATACATTAGGCCTTTTTCTTGGCTTGGTCGTTGGTTTGACCAATTTGGCTTTAGCACCAGTGATCGTGTTCAAAGGGCGCCAGCATTTTTTATAACATTTAAACACTTTTTGTTTATCCATTACCTAATGAATTCGGGAGGGCGTTTCCCTGAAGTGTAATAGGGAATTTTGATGCTAAGTTGTAATTCTTACTTAGTTATCAAATAGTGCTCCCAAGGCCTTTATCACCAAGGGGTTTAATTCATCATTCTGATCGAGCGATGTTTCATCACGTGTTCATTCCTATATTTGCAGAGTTAACTATATATGGTAATATGCAGGCTATGTATGAAATTATAAAATGGGTAAGATATGTATTACAAAAATAAAAATAAAATATGTTGCACAGTTATGAGTTTGGGTAAGAGTTTGCCCGAACTGTGCGTTTTAACGATCACGTGTATCACATGATCTTGTGAATATGGATGTCCATATGCCCTGAAACAGTGGAACTATTTTGGGCCCAACAGTACCTAGAGTATACATTCATCAAATCGTATTTGGTAAGTGATCTTTCAGATCTAATTCTATTCGGTCCTGTTCGGTCCTATTCTGCTCTGGACTAGGATGGACCTATTAACAGCCCTAAAAAGTTCATTATTTACATATCCAAATTATCAAAAAAAATTTTTTTATATAAACATAATAATAATTGTGGTCACTAGCTAATCTCATCTAGGATGAGATTTGAAATTAATTACTGGTTCTTGTAGTTAATCGAAGAATGATTTGCTAAAAATTCATATGAATACTTACATATTTCATTCATCGAAATTGTGACTCATTTAATTTATTCAGTTTCTAATTAATTAAAAAAATTTTGTCTTCATAATCATGAAATTCCTTGAATATCATAATGGAAATAAAATTTCTTTTTCATTATTATAAATAATTTTTGAATGAATAAATTCATTTATGATTTTGATTTAAGATATTATATTAAAAATATTTTACTGTACTAAAAATATGCTAAATCTGAAATTTTTTTTAAAAAAAATCATAATATTAGTATTTGATGGACTTTCAAAACGTTATTGAAACCATTTTTAGTCTCGGTAATACCACTTTTGGCCATCATTTTAGGATGATATGATGACTGTTTTTAAGTATATAAAGTCTACAATTTAAAGTTGAAAAAAAAGGCATTAATAATTACATTCATGGAATTTTTTAAGGGATAAAACTTTTCTCAATTTATACACGTAATAAAAAAATAATAATCATGATCAAAAAATTTATCTTGATATTATTTTTATTGGCCATGCTTACTATCGTCAATTCTATTCCAAATCAAACTCTAGCATGCCATGAAGAAGAAGATCCATTAATACATAATTTACCATCAATCAAGGAACTAACAATTATTCCTGATCCCTCAAAACCTCACAAAATTGGCTCGTTCAAAGGCAATGTAAAAACCAAAAAACCAATCGATGCTACTGCATACTTTTTGGGTTATGTCATTGGTTCAAATGGGAAAGTCTTAACTTTCGCTGGTAATAATATTTGTACTGATGGAGTAACTAAATGTCCGACTAAAGAATATAAACTTAATCAGGAAATTGATATAAGTAATTTACCTAAAAATTCCAAAAATTCCACAATTGTAGCTATGATTTTTAATTCTAAAAAAACTTTAGCTGCTGGAGTCTCTTCTAATTGCACATTCTCTAAATCAATAAGTAAAGAACTTAATACTATATTTAAAGGTCTTTTAACTGTAACCAACTAATAAAATTTTACATTATATTTTGATATTTTATATTATTATTTTATAATTCTATTTTAATTTTGCCCGGAATATATACAAGTAATACTCTTAATATATTTATTATTTAATTTTATTTATTTTTAAGATAGTTCCTTCTATTTTCGACTTTGCTAAAATTTAAGTAGTCTATAGTTTTTTTGATAATATATTTTTATAAATAATAAAAAGACAAACTTAACCTCTTGAAAGATGAAAGTGGTATCGCAGAAAATTTATGAAATACGAATACCAAAATTTAAAAATTTGGTTAAGTATACATTATTGGGCTAAAATTGTCGAATAACGGTAATTTGGCAAATGAACACGTGTAGCCAATCAAATTACTGTATTCGACAATTTATCCAATAATGGTGTTATCCGGTGACAGGACTGAAATCGGCGAATTTGTCGCTAGGTCGATAGTAGCTTCGTGCGACCAACGGTTTAGGTTATGTTGAGTCGAAAGATGCGTGTTAGATTTGGCGAGCGGTTAAGCAGAGGTTTGGGATAGTTTTAGGAAATACTAGGTTAAAACAACTTAGTGAATGTATAAGTTTATATGTGTGAGAGATAGTATTGTATGTTTTATTTGGGATACTTGTATTTTATAAAAGCAGAGGCGGCAGTTGTTATTCCCGAAGGGCCCAAAGGCCTTTATTTATTTTTACATACAGAATATGCAAAACTACTCTTATTTTCCGATTCTCCTGAATTCCTGGAATTCCACCGGTAAATCCAAATTTGGAATTCTCGGGTCACGCAGGCACGTGTCTGCGATTAGGCCACGTTTCCGGGCAATTTATGATCATGAATACTGGAATAAACATAATTACATCGTAACACATGAAAAAAATAACAAAAAGAAATTTTTTTCATGATCATATGAGTTTGCCGGATAATGTGTAATACCAACTTTTGACTATGCTTATCATTATTTCAGATTAGGTTGCACCATTATATATAATGTTTAATATCAAAATTGCCATCTATTTCAGTATTATCAGTATTAACAATACTATAATAATGTATTTTTATATTTAATAAAGAGTCACAAATCTTCACTTTGTTTTATTTGAAATATTCAGAAAAATCCTTTAAAGGATTTACTCTAAGTAAAATTTTATTATGATAAAGTAATATATACTAAAAATTGTTAAAATACAATCTATTATTAATATTTCTATCTTATTGTGAAAGAAATGTTTGAAAATTGGGATTCGTATGTTTTCTCTTGGTAGTACTCATTTATACGCCTTCTATTATTTTCAAGCAAATCATTAATTACAGTTGAAAGTGAATCACATAAATTGTTATTATAAAGATATAAATGAGTTAAAGTTGTATTTTCGCAAAGAGCTTCTACAAATTGACGACCTGCCTCATCCTGAAACATATAATTATAATTCTCACGTAAATCCAGAGAAGTTAAAGTAATATTTTTATGAAGAACATCAGCGAATGCTTTTCCTCCAGCATAACTAAGTTGATTACTACCAACATTCAAATAAGTCAGAGTCATGTTTTCATAAAGTGCTTTTGCTAAATTTTCTCCACCTGTAGAGCCGAGGTTATTATTATAAAGAGATAAATGAGTCAGAGCAGTATTTTTACAAAGAGCTTCAGCCAGCGCTATTCCTCCCTCCAACCCAATTTGATTATTGCCAATATCCAAGTAAGTCAAAGTGGAATTATTACAAAGAGCGTTAGCTAATGCTTTTCCACCTTCAGGACCAAGTTGATTATTCCAAAGATTTAAATGAGTCAAAGTAGTATTCTTACAAAGAGCCTCAGCTAGCACTATCCCTCCTTCAAATCCAAGTTGATTATTACCAATATATAGATAGGTCAAAGTAGTATTATTACAAAGTGTCTCTGCTAATTCTCTTCCTCCTTCAAATCCAAATTTATTATTTCCGAATCCTAAAAAGTTTAGAGCGGTGCTTTTGCAAAGATTTTCTGCTAAATCTATCATTTGATTATAATATATATCACAAACACGTAAATCTTTAAGATTAATACTTGTTCGTAGAAACATTAAGATTAAAGAAGATCCAATAGTATGAGCTACATTTTTAAAACATTTTTCATCTTTAACATAAGGAAAATGATTAGGTTCGTGCCCTTCATGGTCAAGCCAATTTATAATTCCACTATCCGTATCAAAATAAATGGTTTTAATAAATGTAGTATAATCGAATAATGGCTTTGGACAATTTGGAAGCGTTATTTTAAACGGTAATAATAATTTTTTTTCTTCAGTATTTAAAGATAAAAGACATATTTTTATAAGTTTTCTACTTTTAAAATTGTTCAATTTACTCCATAATATTGGTATTACAATTACACACCATCTACGATTTACAAGAAGACATGAAAATAAGTCTTCATTTTTAAGGTTGATAAATATATCAGAAAGACATTCATTGGGTAATGTAATCATCTTGAATGAGATTAAAAAGTTTAATATAAAATTTGACAAGGAAATTATTTTATCGAAGAAAAATTTTTATCGAAAAAAAAAGATTTAATTTATCACGTATTAAATAGTTTTTCGGAATTTAATGACACTGCGAGAAAATTCTATATAATTTTAATATCTTTCTTTAAAGAAATATTTTGATTTTTTTGGTATCGCTATACGGTTTAGCACAATGCAATAGCTCAATCGCACGTCAATAATCATTCGGAATATTCTACCAAATTTGGGATCGGGTTGTAATTTATGTGCGTCACGTGTTTTTAATTTACAAAAACTACCTGGTTTTCAGGCAACCTCCAAATTTGGTCATCATAGTGGCTGTACGTACATACAGGGCTGAAATATACGTCAAGTTTGTACAGACTTAAATCCTGAAATTCAGACTCTAATACGTAATAAAATAATATCTCGTTTTTAGACTTAATCTGCTTCATAGATTTAGAATACGTTAAGAAGTTATTAATAATGCTGTTAATAGACAAAACTGGCAATTTTTTCATTTCAGCGAGGTTCTTCTCAAATAATAATTGTTGCTCGAAGTAGGACAAAACTTAAGGTTCAGCTTTTCCGGAAGAAACGTTATAAATTTAAATTCATTCTTCTTTTTTATCTATTGTATTAAAATATAACCACTGAAGTGGACGCATTTGCTTATAAAACAAAATGTTTAATTTTACGCTGCATTTTTTGTGTACTGTACTACAAAATATATACAAAAAACAATAAACGATATGTTTTCCGAATGCGTTAAATGATTGGTAATAACTGGCTTAAACTGTATTTACTCTTAATTTTCATTTTAACCGATAATTTAGGCCAGCTGTAATCTCACGCAAACGTAACTTTACATCTCTTCATTAAGATTTTGCTTTTAAGAATTTTTGAAATCATAAGTAATTTTTTGAAATTGAAATAGAAATTATTCTAAAAACTTTTAGTAGAACTATCGGAGATAGAATTTATTTTCCGTCGGTACAACTTTATGTAATTGTGCATTGTCTTCCTTTTTTGTTGTAACACATAAGCGAGTTCATTGACAAAAATTTTAGTTACTGGCGGTTTTCTTTAAAAAAACAACTTTAATGATCTTATTGACTTTGTGCATTGCATCTACTTTGTTTCTACGTATGATGCTGCATGCGAAACTAAATTGTGCAACTACGTATTAGAACCAATTTCATAAAGATATTTAAAAAAGAAAAAGGATAGATGCATATGTTGCCTTATCTTATTGGATGCCACAATTTACAGCCGTTTCCAGAAGCTATTCAACAAGTACAAATTTAATGATGATCGACAACTTACTACTGTAATTGATTTCGGCCGATCTCAAACCTATCAATTCAGTCATTTCAATTGCCAAGAATTTATGAAAACAGCTGTAATGTAATCTATTTAACTGATATTAAAAATTGAACGTCATGTCAGTAAACATTGCCCTGTTTTTTAAATTCTTATTTTAAAGGCACATTAAATTAGAAAATTCCAAATGTCTTTAATAGGGTAGCTTCACACGATGTAAAATATGAATAATAGGATTTCCTGATTTCAAATTAAATTAGTGACTTATTTATTTTGAAATCAGTGACTTATAAACCTATTTATTTTTATTTGTAAGCTTATTTATATAATAATGCATACTTTTACGATCGTAAATTTTCTTTTTTTAAAAAAAAAATGATTGCTTATTTTATCTCCGAATAACTCCTGTATCATTTTCTGGTTTCGAAATTTCAAAACAAAGATAGAACTTTTCAAATTTTCACTTATTTTCAAAATCAGTTAATTCTGAAACGCCATAATAATACATATGCACAATTCAAATTATATTTTTAGAACGCGGAGTATGTAAATTAACAATTTATTCATTATGGCATAATCAACACGGGTTTACTTATTTCTCACTGTGATACAATCACATGAAATTATAAATAATTTATTTGCTGTAAATTTGCTTTAACTTTAAAGTTAGGAAGAATAGATTCTATACTAAACTTTTACAAGGAATTTTTTATGTTAGAACACAAGAGGCGGGTTTTAGGCAAAAATTTTGTGTTATTAGCGATTTTTTGAAAAATACAAACAAATACCAACAAATTTCATACATACAAAAATTTCCTTTTATTGGTTTGTATCACGGTGGAAAATAAGGGCAACACTAACATTAATTGCTTAACAGCTATAAGGAATTATTGACTTTTATTTTAAAGTTCATTCAAATTTCCTAAATTTATTTGTAAATTCTAGTTAATTATTGGGCCAACTTCACCGTTTTTTTGAACAATTTCAAAATCTAAGACGTAATTCTCTATAGAAAAGCATTCGTCTTACTTTAAATTCTAAGACGTAATTCTCTATAGAAAAGCATTCGTCTTACTTTAAATTATCTGAGACCATTACACCAAGGACACGAAATTTACGCTATAAGAATTTGTAAATTTTGCGTGCGGTATATATAAATATTTGATTGATATCGATTGAATGATGATTGAAAATAAAAGGG